GAAGATTGCATTTTGCGGCATGTTTTTCAATACAGCCAAGCCAACACATCAAACCGATTGACACCTTCTTAGAATGCCGCCAGCCAAGTGGCGTTTTGTTGCATTGGTTGATCCCCTTGGGGAGAGGCTCAGGAACAGCTTGGGCCCCGCTCTGCCTGGATGCTGGCGCAAATGCTCCCATGCTTCAATCATGTTGAGAGTTGATTCTGAATGTTTCCCATTCTAAATATGTCTAGAGTCTACATACTCATTCTATCTCATTCTAAAAAGGAAGAGACCCTTCGATCTGGAGGTTTTTTGGCTTTTTGATACAAGTTTAATAGAGGATTTTATAAACCATTTTCATGTGACTTTTTGGCTTTGAAGCTCTTCCCAGGTGACCCTACTTTGGACCACCCGGATTTCAGGGACCCCCTATATATTCCAAAAATGTGACCGAATTAGACAAGCGATATTCCACCACAGCTTCCCTTTCCATCTGGAAGGCCGCTGGGACATGCTGGAGCAGATTTCCTTGGTATAAGGGAGAGGGCCGTGTGAGTCACAGTGATTTAAAACAAGAGATCAGCCGATTAGAGTCTTTGCAAGTATTTCTCTTGAACACAAGCCGCTTCATCTTCTCTCTATGAATATTCAGTTATACACACTTATCTGGGTTTGAACATGTTTTTCAACCTGTATAAGTCTATGTATATATATATGTTATATATCTAATTTAGGGAATTTCTTTGACTTTCCTCTCAAAAAAGTACTGGTTTACTCTACACAATTCTAGCGACGGCGAACAGTCGCTCTCATTCTCTAACGGTGGTGGCGGAGCTGGAGGGAGACCTGAAGGTTAATCTCCATCCGATTCATCAGCAGGCTTCAAGGATGCCTGCAAATCTTCTCCATTGCTTCTCGACCGCTTGTGAAAGAAACCTGTTTGGACACCTGTGTATGATTCTCCTGCGCCACGTGTTTGGTCTGTGCTGTCTGTATTGCGTCCAATGTTATTTTGAGCCACGTGGATTTGCTGATGGCCGGCGGGTTCATCAGAAATGACATCAAACATGTGCATCAAAAACATGTGCATCAAAAAAACAACCCTTTGGAGGAATTCTCCCAAAACCCCTACAAATAGAATGCCTGACCCATATTTTTGGATGTAAGCATTCTAACCGGGTGCCATTTTGGGCATTCTATGATCCCACGTTGCAAACCCCTTGCCGGGCATTCTATCTTTCAGTCCGTCCTATATATATATATATATTGGCCCCTTCAATGGTTTGATGACTACACAAGTTTGGCCAGGTATGTTGTGATTGTCATGTTGATTACATTGTTCATTATAATGTATATTATATTACTATATTGTTATATAGTGAGTGAAATTGTATTAACTTTCTAATGTGTCGATTACATGTATGTAATATCATATATCATCTTATAATATCTACAGTATATAAGTTGTGACTAGTCACAAGTTCAACCTTGAGCGAAAACAAGCTCCATCATGTGTCCGTTACAGTAGGGATGCGACCAACATGAGAGTTCACAATCTCTTGCGTGCTCAATGCTCCTCATGCCCATCATCTGTATATTCCCAATCATAGACAAACTGCAGGCACTGCACTTGTTGAAGAACCACTTTCCATCTGGATTAAACCCTTCCATTCAATGATATCCATAGCTGCTAGCTTTGCGCTTTTCAGGCTTTGCTCCTCCGGGTTCCCACCGCTTTCGGGACCGGCCCTTTCAGCAAGGGAATAAAAATAACGCCAGCTCCACAAGTCAATAGTGTATCTCCACTTCCCTCTTCACTCCCCAATTGATCAAATGGCACTGGCAGCACGTTGCAGGGCGGTCTGGGCGAATTATATCGCCTTCATTCATTTCGTTTACCTCAAAAAACAAAAATAGTATATACTTAACAATTGTTTCATGTTTTTCAAGTTGTTTTGATGTTCAAAAAACATAATCACCCGACTGACAAAACCAGGCGCTGGGTCCAGCGGCCCCCTGCGTTTTGCGGCGGTCCTGGCACCGGTTGCCAGGACCAATGCCCTTCTCGCCCTGGCAGGTTGACCTCGCTACGGTACTACGTAGAGTCTATTCGAGTCTAAGGGTCTCCATGTCTTGACCCGCATCCATATTCTTGCACCAAAGAAAGAAGCATCTAGCATCATCTAGCATGCGACTCCTGCACCAAGTCTGAAAACACACACCCTTTCCATGCGGGTGAATCGTGTGAATGCCAAAGTCGGGACGTTCTTTCAAGCCGCAAACTCAGCTAGTGGGTTACACTGGTCGAACCATCGTAGATTGCCCACTAATGAAAAAGTGGATTGAGAGTAGATGGCACAGAGGCCCCCAATGTCGGGTGGTTTAGTGGATCCGCATTCTGTCTGGGACATCATCGGGGAAAGGTTCCATCTACTCTGAAACCGTGCACCACAACTCTCCTCCGTGAGGGAGGTTGTTGTCCACATGCTCCCCATCTCCTCAGTAAACCCCTCCCGTTCCCCGCCGTGCGTCCAGGTGGGGTCATCTATACAACTCTGAAACCGTCAAAACAACTCTGAAGGATCGGAAGCATCTCCCAGCCTCAAGGCTTTAAGAATCGGAAGAGAGGCGGCGGGCTCCCCACGCAGGTCACTCTCGCCGGCTCCGCGGGAGCCAGGTGTCACCGGCGGTCTGCGGCACGGGTTTTTCGCCCCCCGGCCCCCCCGCCTTCACCGATCGCTCCATTGTGCCGTTCCGAGGCCACCTGGAAACGAACGCACGAACCCCGAGGAGGCGACGAAAAGGTGGAGGTCAAGTGGAGTCCAAGCAGGAAAAGCAAGCGGATTGTATTGAGGAACAGGAACCTGCAGGGTAGTAAGCACCACTTCTTTCATGACACTTGACACCTTTTTACCGACCTGCTTTCTATTGCCATGTTTATACCCTTTTCTGGCTGCTCCTCTTGGTTTGCTGAGGATATCAAGTGAGCACGCGCTTCGCAGTTCTCAACATAGATGTCTCTTGTTTGAAGCATTTCTGAGATAGGACTTTATCAAGACCTTGATGAAGAGGTACAACGAAGGTATAACGGTAATATACTTAGTGGGACATTCTTGGATGTCCATCCGTTGGATCCACTCACACATCTTGGAGCTGCTCCATGTGAAGAAAACCGTTTAACAGTACACCACACGTAGCGCACAGCTGGCACGGCAGCGATGCGCTCCGCCACCCCACCGTGTTCACCACTGGGATCCCCAACCCATCTTAGGCGGCGCAGAAAAGACCCCGCTCCGCTGGCACCAGCGGCGATTTCGACGCACCCCGAAGGAACGCAAGCAGCTGCGGGAGGCACTGCGCGTTTTCGAGTTCCGGCGCAACGTGAGTTCTCCCAGAATTGGAATGAGTTGGTTCTGGTCAAAAAGCTTGTGACTTCTCCCAGGCCACTCCGGTACCCAACATTTCTGTGTACGCCCTACCCAAGGCGTGCTGTCTGTGCGCGGTGATTCGCTGCGTCGACTCCTTGGCTCCAACAAGATCGATCGAAGGTGTGGAGGAGAACAATCAAGTGTCCTGATTTGAACTCCAAGTGATCAACTAGGATCATTTGTCTAACAAGATCGGAGATTCAAGTTGTCCTCTTCCACCTGAATGAAGTCAAGGCAAAGAAACAACTAAACGTCAAGTTGTCATGACCTAGAACCCGAGTGACCGCTGTTTCGGAGAAGATGGCATCTAAATATCGAACATAGCCGCCGATCCGCCTGATCCACAACTGGGGTCATGTCTGGGTTCCGACGTGCAAAGCACTGAGATGGCCGTCATCCAAACGCAAAGGAGCACATGGGCGACGCCGAAGGTTGTTGTTCTGAGTATAGGGATCATTTGCTGGATTTCATGACTTCCTCAGACACCGGGGACTGGAAGAAGAAAGCCGCCTCAGAAAGACCTCTTTTCAATCAAATATGTCATATAGATGGAGCTTCTGGGTTCTGGAGGGGCCCCCAAAGTGCCAATGCCCAGTGTGCAGTAGTTTTCCATCACTTGACCCAGCCTCCAAACCACGTCGAACTGTTGCCCAAAGGTCCAGCGGTAGGTGGTTTCATGATTGAAGAGCAGCGCTAGAAGCATCCAAAAGCCCCAAGCACCAACAGTGGATGATGGTTACTAGGGACTTTTACAAAAGAAACTGCTACCCCTGGCCTACTGTTGAAGTAAAAGGAATCAAATATGGACCTATATATCACCCCAACGCATCCCAATACTTCATGTGGCTCATGTTGAAAAATATCTTATCTACATGTAGGACCTTTCAGGCCACTTCCACTGCCAGGGTAGTTCCTGGCATTTGAGGATTTGCAAGTATGACCCAGATGGTTCTCAGTTGCACACACCTACCGAAACAGGAGCCAAAACCAGGGGTTCACCAAACAAAGTGCAAACTGCTTGGGTGCTATAGTGGTTTGGTCAACGGGTGTGTCGGTCCAAAGTTCCGTTCTCAAGGGGCTGGTTCAAATCCTCTCCTCTTCAAACAGTTGCAACCAAAGGACTTATATGACTTAATTCTCCTGTCAGATGATAGCACAAACGGATCCAACATGTATACATCGTTGGCTGCAAACATCTGCAGCAACATATTCGGCAACGACCGTTCACGTGAACACCTGGAGTTCCGGCGCCATTGACGTTGACTGAGATCTTCCGTTGACGTTGAGTGGTTCCAATTGCTGATGAAAAAGAAACAGGGGCCTCATTGTTCGATGGGGAAGTCAATAGGAATCAATCTTGCACACCCCGGTAGCTTTCACTTCTATTGGTCAACATGAAGCTCCGATTCCAGCAGTCAGAACACAACCCAAACACTCCATGAAACTGGCATTCAATGTGGCACATAAACTGGTGGTTTGGGGGGTCAAGACTCTGAACCCCGAAGAAGACGCCACTCTGACAACCCAGCTCTCAACCGCTCGACCCCGACGGCCGCTTCGCTCAGCGGTGGCGTCCACCCGACCGGCCTAAAACGACACCTTCCAGATCCAAGGTGTTCAGGATGTGCAGCAGATTCACCGCGAGATGTCTTGGCGACCCGAGCCCAAAAAATGTACTCCATACGTTAATGTTGACTCTTGGTTCGTGTTTCCGGGAAAGTCATGGGTACCGGGCCGGGAATGCGTTTTCGGATTTGGGCATCTTCAAACATCTCCAAACTACCGACTCAAGGGATGTTCGGAAGTGGAAACTGAATTTAACATTTGCATTGGATCACCATCTTCCTCTACAAAAGGTGGTTTTCCATTGCCATGTGAGTTCTTCTCGGAGTGTCTGCAGGTTTCCCCTCCTGTGCTAGCAGGGTCCGACCCTGCGCTGATCATCCTCGCCACTGTTTGACATACTCATGGTCCACCAGATTGAGAATACTATTCCATTATTTGTATATCTGCTGTAGCCCACCATGTCTGTGAAGTAAAACGCTGTATACAGGCCGCAAGTATCGGTGCGCGTTGAAATAGCATCAACGGTGCCAGGGCTCCACCCGTGGTTGCCTGAAGCCTCAGGAAATGCCAATTATTAGATGACCAAGGAATTCCTGGTCTATGTCTATCTTAGGCTACTTTTACAAGTAAACTTGTGAACAAGAATCAGGTGCTACAGATCGGAAATGGAAAAAACAATCTACTTCGACTGTATATAATTTTGTTTTCGTGTGATAATCATTGTTTTTTACCTTTGTCTTCTGTTTTTTAATGGTTACCTTGTCTTTTTCTAGTTGTGTTTTTTGTATAAGTTTGTGCTCGTGTTTAGTTGTTGCTTCTTTAGTGTCCCACAATGTTGCACATGTTACGTCTCTGTATATGTGTCTTTTGCTGCTGCTGTACATGTTTTGCTCATTGAATGCACACTGGCTCATTGACCCTTCGGTTGTGAGCGGGTTGTTGCCACGGGGTTCCATTCAAACTCATGCGTGCACCATAGTCACGACTCCATTCCAAGGCGCGAAGGACTGCGAATACCTCCGCTCTGGCAATGGTTTGCCAAACATCTGGAAGAAGCCCAGCAGCAATCACCTGGCCAGTTTGTGCCAAGACACAGGCCCAGGAGGCCAGTGCTAGGACCCTGTCACCTGGAAAAGCACACGATCTGTCAGTGAACACATCATGCACAAGATCTTGGACTGGTACACAGTGCCACAAAGGCAACTGATGTCGAAGCTCTTGTTGTTCACGCTGACAACATACCAACCACGGGTTAGCTGTTCAACTCATTCAAACACAAAGAGCAAGTGCCAATTGTTGTCTTGGTGACACTGATGTCTGCTCCAATTCTGGTGTAGATGTCAAACATGCTCCCATACAAGCAAGTCAAGGCATCGTCCATGGATTGCACTTCCTTCTCTCGCTGGAGTTGCTGGAGCGGCCACTGTCGAGTTTCTGCAGTGATTCCTGCTGGTGATACGAAGGTGCGGCAGTCAACTGCGCTATTGGTCGTCAGGAGCTGTCGGATTCAGAGTAAGCCTTGCCGTAGCATCATCAATTTGGCAACTCCATGACATGCAGCAGGCACCCAAAGCTTCACTTCCATGCAAGCCTCTAGAGATTGCTTTGCAGTGTAGACAAGGACACCAAAGAGGCATGAATCAAAGAATCAGCTGAAGGGCTCCGCCTTTCACTTCGTGATAAAAGCTGCCATATCTCAACTGCACTCGTAAGTCGCTCAAAGAAACTTTGATCACACGTCGAGATAGTTGAGGAGCACTCATGTCTGCAATCATCATCACTCGACGAATCTCTTTTGAAATGCGGGCTCCATCCAGATATGTCCAAGTTTGTGTAGCCAACATCCGTGCTTTGTGATGTGCTAGTGGCTTGCACATTGTATGCTTGCGTGTTCTTCATCTCAACTGAACAAGTTGACTTCGTGTGAGCAATTTAATTTCTCGAGCGAGATCTGTGGCTGCTGCAGCAAAAACTCTGAGCACCTCTCGGGTTTCGCGGTCAGCAGCATATATGGGGCGTGGCTTAGCTTTCTGCTCCAGCTTTGAGCTGTATACAACAGCGTTGCGCCATGCTGTACTGTCGATCAAGTAATCCTCCACCCTGCGGTTGATGGTCTGCATGAGTCCCAAACTAATAGAAGACTCGAGTCGAGAGAGTGACAACGGCTTCTGCAATGGTTTTGGCGATGTTTTTCCTGGAGCCCGACCCGTCCACCATTTGCGAACGACCTGACCTACGGTAGGTCAATCAAGGATTCCTGGCACCATGACCCAAAATATACACTCCGGACGGAAGATTCATGGTTACGTGGATGGCACCCCCTGGGACTGGTTCGAACGGATTGAACATGGTCCTGTGCTCAACTTTCGGGGACATGCCATCCATGGCCCATTTGTTTCTTTGCAGGAAGTGTACCCCTGAGGTCCGAAGTGGCGCAATTCGAGCCGAACCGGCGTGATCTGATGCAGTCCCAACAGCCCCCTTTCTCAACGTCGTGTCTCGGGTCTGAAGAGCTGGTTGACCACCAAGTCGCCCACGACCCACGCTCGCTCGCCCTCTGAAACTCCCGGTGACAAGCGTCCCTAAGTCGCTGTGGAGCAAGGTATGTGTCCACAGCCGCCACACCTGCGGTCGGAACACAGCCGTCCCCCCAACAAAGCAACTGTGTCAAGAGAGATTTGGAGAAAATTGCAGTTCTATTTTTTCAGATCTGTGTCATGATTCTATGTTCAACAAAGCTCAATGTCATGTGTACACTTGATCCTGAAACTCACCCTCTAAAGCAGGGCAAGCAGCCCTGGTCAACGATTTAGACTAAGAGGATGCAGTCTTTGTTCGGCTTTGGCAAACTGTTTGTTTTAGTTTGGATCTTGAGAATTGATCAAAGTCTTCTGGCCATCTAGCCTCTTCAATCTGGGAAGGCTTATTCATCTACAGTACATTCTTGCAAACTGGACTAAGCTGGGAATGGAATGCCACAAAAGCCCACCCGTCGCACGTCCCGCTTCATCCACACGACTTAAGTGTCGCATTACCGGCAGTCGCGGCCACCGTTACGCGGCCTCACAAGCTTTCAGGGTGGGTGGATAGAACACGGCGAGCCGCTGAAAAGGCACCAGCCTACAGGCGTGAGAGGCGGATAACACGTAATTAGTCTTGAACAACAACAGCAACAACAACCAACAACAACAACAACAACAACCACAGCCACAGCCACAGCCACAACCAACAACCAACACCCAACAGCCAACAACAACAAACAACAATCAGCAATCAACAAACAACAAGAAGCCAACAACGACAACAACAACGACGATGACGACAACAACAAGGTACCAGTACAAACAAAAACTGCAGCCCCGTTACAACATATCTTCTTCCTTTGTCTCTACAAGGGGGTGGAAACAAAATCTGCAGCCAAGCCGTTGTTCTTTGACCACTCCCCGGAAAACAACCAGCCAACAAGCACTTCTGCCAGTAGTAGTAGTAGTAGTAGTAGTGGTGGTAGTATCCGGTCAGCTAAACCTCTGTAAAACTTATCCTTTGAACCTCCACCACATCCTAGAAAAAAAACTGCAGCCCCGTTGTTGTTTTTTGCACCCCTCCGCTCAAAAGGTGTTGTCTCTACTCTACCCCCTCCTAGAAACAAACACTGCCCCATTGTTGTTTTTTGGACCCCCCCTCCAGAACAACACCTCAAAAACACTAAAAATGAACCAGCCCAGACTTTAATGAAACAAGTCCAACAAGTCCACCCACTGACGAAACCAACATTCGCTCAAACCTTCAACCGTATCCCTAACCGTGCCCCCTTGAAGTTCCAAAGTTACAACATGTTACCACCTCTCGCGCCAGATCTCGCGTGAAACGCGTCTGACATATGCACGACGCACAGGTCGTAACATAACAGAGGATCAGCCTCGGGCTGACTCAAAAATCGCACACGGGAATCTCCCATGACTCCAAGGTGCGGTTCGCGCCCCTCGCGAAAAGGTTGGCCACAAGTTCGAACCCTTCGGGTGGAACAAAGGGGGATGCATGTTCAATGCACCCCTGAGGAAGTACCCGGCCGCAACTCCGTGGCTTGGTCGAGTTGAAACTTCCCGGAAAAGCCTGAACACATGGATTCTTCGACAAAAGCAACATGGTCTTGCGGATCAAATTGGTCAACTCTCGAAAAGTAAGCAGATCCGAATCTGCTTTCAGGCGGGCCCCAGTCACATGAAAAATGGCTGCAAGTTCACAGAAGGAAAAAGATGCACCATGGGTCTCTTTCCATCTAAGTCCTCGAAGGAACGAGCATATCACTGTCCAGTTCTCTGGGTGACTCTTCCATGTTTCGGGACATGGGATGTCGACCGGGATTTTGGGTTTCCAGCGAAAGGATGCTGCAGCGACATCCCAATCCCAGTGTGGATATCGTAGCCGGCATTGCGATGCCGACAACTTGTCAGGTAGCTCTTGAACACCGTTCGACGTGTCAGCTGCAGGGTCACGGGTCGGCAGAAGGGAGTGCACTGAAATGAGCCACTTCTGATGAGAATGGATGGCAGCAACAAGATTTTGCTTAAAATTAGGATCAATCGGTGCAAGCCGTATTGCAAGTTCACGCGCAGCTCTGTCAACAATTCTGTTGTTCGTAATATGTTGCAGCGTCGTATGGACACAGCGGGCCATGTCCTCCGTGACAAGCTCAATGGGAATGTGATCGTACTGGTGGGCTGGAATCCACTCGATGCGGAACGGATGGTCTGTGTCAACACGCCGTTCAGTAGAGATCTGAGCCAGAGAGCACCACCACTGGAAGCATTTCCAACTTGGATCGGGAGGGTGACCTGCAAAAATCTGACTTGCCTGCTTCACAACGGCTGCACAGTCGCTGTAAATGACGAGCTTCGTAGTGGCAGAAGACACCGCAACCAGAACTGCCCATAGCTCCGTACAGTAAGCGGACAACGCGAGGTGGTTCACTTGCCCCTGATGAATGATGTTTTGCTGCTCATCAAGTACAGCGTAGGTTCCAGTGGCTAACCACACATTTTCCCCAAAGACAAGGGACCCATCAGTCCATACTTGGTGGGTACTGCTGCCGTTGAATTCAGCAGAAACGGGCAATGCACACGACTGGAGCTGTAGCAAGCGTCGTCGGACGACGAACGAAGGCTGATGTACATGTCCAAGCATAGCAAAGTTATTGCCAAGTTCATGGAGTACAGGTGATCCCAAAACATCGCGAATGGAAGCACATTGATGCACCAGGTGTATCATAGATTCTTTTTCCTCCCCACAGAATCTGCAGGCAGCAGTGTCACTCCAACCAGTTGCAGCCATCCTGTCATTGGTAAGGCAGCACCCAACCAGAACAGATTCGAGCCGCTGGTGATTGGAAATCTCATCATTGTCATAGACCTTGGGAGAACGAAAGAACGATGTTGTCATGGCATGATCAAAAACCTGTGTAGTTTTGACAAAGTCTTTGCGTGGCGTGGAACTTGCAAGTTTGTAACACGCATCACGTGCAATGGCTTGCAAGATTCTGCGGACATCTTGCGGGGTAATATCCTTAATCGGGATAGGTTGGGAGTTGGCGAAGGAAAGGGACAACTCTTCTCCCACTCGAATGTTCAGGAAAGAACACGCACTCTCAAACCTGCCAGCAAGGGAATGGGGAAGCTTTTGAAAGACTCTGTGCGTGGAGATCAGCTTCGGGGGAAGATCCGGATTGGAATGACAAGACCGAATGACCTCGAACACCGTATGGAAAGCGCTGGCAGTTCGGGGGTCAGTGCGATGAGGTTTGCCAAAAATCGCTTGGACCAACCATTTCGACCTCCACTTTGGCCGGCGCCCCCAAATACACCTAGAAATGGCATTTTGGATGACATCGAGTTTGGCCTTAGGGACACGCGAAATGTGAGATCCAAAGGTGAGCCTGGGGATGACTTTGGACCCAAGCAAGAAAACTCTGGTTGACATAGAGACTGGCAGGGCGCCAATATTTTCGATATCACAGATGATTTTCTTCAAGGAGCCCTCTGAAAATCCGAAAGCACACCTAGCGGAAGTATAAATGCGGGTGCCTAAAGTTTCGAATTCGAGTGTAACCGGAAACTCCGAGAACTGGGATCGGAGCGCAGTCCTTCCTTCAGCAGTGTTGCTCCACATGCTCGATTTCGCAATGTTCAGTTTTTGACCAACAAGGTCGTCCCATATTTGTGTGACTTGAATCGCAGTATTGAGCTGCTGAATGTTTGCCAAGCGGCACCACAAATAGCTGTCATCGATATAAGCCCGAACAATAATGCTAGGCAAGTGCTCGAGAAGGTGGTACCACACCTTGTTGTATGCATTCATGGCGAGGATGGAAAATGAACAACCCTGTGCCACCCCATTCGCATGAGTCGTAGAGACAGGGGAAATCCAATTCCTATAAGCCATGTGCTTACGAAGGCTTTGGTAAATTTTCAAAAATATCTTGACGACATTATGTGGGATGCCAAAAGCGACAAAAAGACAGGCAGCGAACTGAGGAATAATCCGGTCAAAAGCCTTTGATTTATCAAGTTTGACACCTACAATGGAGTCTTCTTCCATATTTGCAACATCGATGTCAAGGCGCACGTCGTTGTAGAGAGACGACATGTAGCGCCCTCTGACCCCACCGACAATGCCATGCGGCATGGCTCGAATTTGCCAGCTTTGGAGTTGCAAGAATCTAGCTCCTGTGTATGCTAGGAGCAAAGGTGGGAGTACTGTGATCAAGCGCTTATTAATAGGAGAAGCAGGTCCCGGCTTATTAAGGATAACTTGTTTTGCCACCGTTAAGGCACGAGGCAAAGGGGAGTCAGTATCCTCAAGCATTCGAAAGAACATTGCTAAAATCTCGAAGCACCTTTTTGGGATTGCCTGAAGTTCAACAGTTCTCCAGCCATCGAGGCCAGGTGCGGCGTTGGTTTTCCGCTTTCGGACAACTTGAAACAAATCATCTCCAGAGATGGGGGGAAGGGAAACTTCAACCTGTTTGTCGGCAATGTAAGGCCAAACAGTCTCAAGCATCTTTAAAGGATGTTCGGCTAAGACATTAGCAGCAAAAATGTCGTCCCACTTACTGTTAAGCTCAGCAATGGCTTGGTCAGGTTGGGTTAAAATTTGACCTTGATCATTCTGAACTAAGTTGGGAGGTTCATCAGAGGCCTTGTTTCGAAGGTGCTGAAAAATGAAAGAGTACCCTTGATGTTCAGAATGCTTGATCCTTTCCTTCCACTTCCGAATGCGCTTGAGGCGTGTACGGCCATCGAGTGTCATCGCAAAACCTTCGGCCCACCGTCTCGAAAAATGGATTTCAACCAACGAAGGATGCAACGGGTCAACCCATTCAATGGTGGAATTGAGCCTCCTAAGGGCACGATAACTACGAATGGCAAGTTGCTTCGTGTTGAAAACATCTTGTGGAGAGCCCTGGGTGCGAGAGACCCTCGTGGCAAGTTCATTGAGTCTATTAATGAGCTTGTACGCATCCAGCGAGACCTTCGTGGCAGCACAATGGGTGCGTAATTGGGTAGGACAGACCCGTTTTGGACAGAAGACCGGTGTGGTTGCCCTTGTTTTAGGACCCTGTCCCCACGAAGCACCTCGGGAGAGTAAGACTTCCTGAAAATATTGATTGATCAAGTCCCACTTGTTGTCAACATCAGTCACGTCATGGAAACCGGAAGAAAACTGTTGTTCCCACAACCCCGAGTCATCTTGGCAAGACCGAGGGTCAGGCACCCTGGACACATCAAGTGGAGCGAATTTCATATGGATGAAACCACATTGTTCGATTGATGGCCAATCAAAGGAAACCTGAATAGGTCGATGTTGCCGACCAAAGTGTTCTAAGACGCATGCGTCTCTGACAGCACAGAAGGCTGTATTGTTTACAAGAACACCATCGATGGAAGTGCAACCCTCATCGGCGCCCGAAAAGCTGCAGTCTTTGGAATATGTGTAAGGGCGTGAAATATCTCCCATCTCATCAACGGCATTGAGGGGATCGTGCCATCCATGGATTTGCAAGGCAGCCGAGACGCTTTCATAACTGGAGGGATTGGACTGGAAATCCCCGGCCACAACAACCG